CCTTCCAGAGGTAAGAGGATGACTCTCCCTGATAGGCCTAGCAAGACCTAAGCCTGGCTCTGATTGGCCCAGTTGGGGTCACATGCTCAGCCATGAACCAATCACCATGGCCAGGGGTGCACAGTACTCTCATTGGTCAGCTCTGCATCACTTGTGCACCCACGAAGCCATGGGATGGGGCCAGCCCTGTCTGAAACCCATGGGACGAGTGGGGAATCCAGTCTCCCCCAGGAAAAGCGAAGGTGCTGTTACCAAAAAAGGGTGAGTTGAACATCAGAAGGGCAAAAACAAATGTCCGCTACTCTTGAGAATAATAGGAAAGAATCGCAATACAGAAATTCTTTCAAATTGAATTCTAGATAGGACTGCTTTCAGAATTTGTAAGGCACGGACCATTCAACAGGGTCCCTACTCGCCCACGAGGCCCGGAGAAAGGGCAGTTTCTCCATGCCCTCTCCCACGCCAAGGGCCACTTCCCCAGGCCTCGTTCCCTGTCCTGGGATTATTTGATCTCCTCAAGATCTTTGATGGTGGGAATATCCACTCCCTCTGGGAAAAATTCCCAATTCCTGCCAACAGTGCCCTCTGGCCATAGGATTTCAACAAGACATTCACATCAAAACACAGTAGTTCAGCACGTATCAGACTTTCCAGCATCTGGCTCATTCAGTCCGGAATAACATCATGAATGGGACACCAAGACTTCAGGCCACGTAGGGTTTAGCCTGGCCAAACCCAGTTCCTTTTCTCCAGATGAAGGTTGGGCTTGTGTATCTTTCCTATAGTCCTGGAGACTTCTCTATATCTCGTGTAAAGAGCTACATGAAAAAGAAGCCATATCACCCTAATGTCAGAGGCGTTTGAACCAGAGCAACTCCATCTTGAATAGGAGCCGGATAAAATGAGGCTGAGACCCACTGGGCTGCATTCCCAAACAGTTAAGACATTCTATGTTACAGGATGAGATAGGAGGTTGGCACAAGATACAGGTCATAAGGACCTTGCTGATAAAACAGGTTGCAGGAAAGAAGCTGGCCAAAACCCAGATGGTCACAAGAGTAACCTCTGGTCATCCTTACTGCTACACTCCCACCAGTGCCATGACAGTTTACAAATGCCATGGCAACATCAGGAAGTTACCCTATATGATCTAAAAGGGGAAGGCACAAATAATTCTCCCCTGGTTTAGCATGTAATCAAGAAATAACCGCAAAGATGGGCAACTAGTAGCCTTCGAGGCTGCTGTGTCTGTGGAGTAGCCATTCTTTTATTCCTTTACTTAATAAACTTGCTTTCACTTTATGAACTCGCCTTGAATTCTTTCTTGCACGAGATCCAAGAGCCCTCTCTTGGGGTCTGGATCTGGACCCCTGTCCAGTAACTGTAGGATCAACCCATAACTTATGGGTCTGGAATTGTGAGTGTGAGGTGGTTTGGAGGGATAATTCATCTGAAGCACTTAGCATCAGAGAGCTCAAGAAACAGTAGATATCAGTTTTTTAAATTACAATACAAATGTTCCAGGCAGGGGCTGTTACTGCTCTGGCAGAGACAGACGCATCCAATGCTGAAGGAGGAAGCAGGAAGCCCGCCCTTAGGAGAATGGTCTCTTAGCCAGAATGGAAGGGACAGCGGGAGCGGAAGAAGCTCTCCCAGGATGGGCAAGAGAAAGATGGAGAGCAGCAGCTGTTCAGTTGCTCCTTGAAGGACCCCACCCTGAGAGCCTGAAGGCAGCTGTTGTCAGCCCCCAGGAGGCCTACAGACCAGAGCCCAGAATAGACACTGGGCTGCTTGGGGCAGTCTAATCCCACGGAGGGTTTTAACCCTAATGTTGCAGAGCCCACGTGCCTTTCCACCTTGCCACTGCCATCCATACAACAATCAACACAGAAGGAAAGGGTCAAAAGTCGCTTTTGGAGCTTTGCATTTGCACATGGGTGTTTCTAAGTCAGGTGCTAATGCCTGGGGGGCTGCCAAAACCTTGTTTCTGAAATTATTTTCTAGACCCTTTAAATTCATCAGGATAGACATAGTGACGATAAACATTTTTATAGTAGACTTTCACACAAGACAAAGATCAAAGGCATGTGTAATCGATGATAAAAGGAAGTGATAAAAAGAGTCACTCTCAGGTATATCTTGGTGTTGATTTTATTTTTAATAGCTCAGCTATGAGACTCTGACTTTGTGCATGTACTTAGAGCTGACGTTGGAAGCCTCCAGCTGTGTCACAGTTAGAGGCTCTTCATCCCAAAGCACCGCCAACCATCCAAGCCATGCTGGCGCTCATTCTCTTGTTCCATCCCTTTTCCGAAGGCTTCGTTTTGCAGAAGTCGTCCTGAGAGTCCTTGGCACTATGCTTATGATTTGGATTTTGAACACCACGTGAACTCTGGCACCTGGTTATGGGGTCCAGTATCCACAGTCCCCAGTGGGAATTATGGCATTTCTCTTTTGTGTCTTACAATACCAAAGAATTGGGCTTTTTCTGTGAAAATAAACTGCTTTTAATACATGCATTATTAAACCAATAAAGCATTAATATTTACTAATTACTAATTTAAGCAAAGTAAAACCTATTTCAGAGTAAGGGAAAAGCATGCAGAAACACACATTGTTAAGAACTGTTGCTAAACAAGGCTTAATATAATCCTGGTTTTCCCCATTCTATCTTAAAGGAAAATCTCAAACTCTTGCTTTCATAAACAAAACTTGGTAATTTGAAAGAGTCCAGGTTTTTATAATGATCGCATTCCTTAAAATTAAACTACAGTTTTCACTTTTCTTAAAGGGAAAAACATTCAAAAGTTTCTCACAGAGAGAAAGCATTGATTTTCCTCTCTGAGTTCCTCCCATGAACTGTCTCGATCGCTGCCAACTCAGTTCCTTCTGTATTCTGTGCACGTGGAACACACTGTTTTCTGCTTAAAGAGTTATTTCCAATCCCCACCCCCAGCCACACCTCAGTTCCATGAGTGATCGTGGCTCAATGACCTAGGCACCCCAAGCATTCGCCATAAATAAGGCTGTTTACTGACCTATTTTTACTAGGACTACTGAGATATGCTGAAACCTGGTGGGGGTTGGAGTCGGGGGGATTGAAGTTACACCTCTCTCTAGCACCATCAGTCATTGTTCAGATATTTAAATTTCACAAACAGAATCAACGGCCTGCTGGGGGCATTGTCACTTACACCGAGCAGGGCCATCTGTCGCAGCGCTGGCATTTTAAGGCATTTTAGATGACAGCGTTTCGGGATCTCTTTGTTCGTGGATTTCAGGATGAAGTCCTCCAGTGGGGCTTCATGACTGACCAAGGTTTGAAATTGATAATGTCCCCAGTTGGGGACTTGCTGATTAGGCTGCGTTCACAGCAATTAGAAGATCATCTGGTGGAAAAACTGTCCGGAGAGAGAGGGGCACAGAATCCCGGAGCTCAGATCGAGCAGTGGAAGGGAAAGCCAGATCTCCATTCTAGAGGCAGAGTTTTCCACTTCTCCCTAAGGGGTCGCCTCAGCAGCCCGCCTCTCAGCTACAGCATGGGGAAATCTCACTGCAGATGTGCTAATCACAGAACTGCACAGGTACTCCCTGAATCCAACTTGGGTTATTAAAACAACAATGAGGCGTATGCATTTGGCTCCGTTCACCCTCAGGGTGACCAGCTGTCTCACTCCTCAGCCCAAATCCAAGGGATTCATTGTCTAAGAATAATTTCTTCCACCTTGGGAATTCTCTGATTTACTCTTACCTAGGTCCACTGGTCTTGACCAAAATGTGAGGTGTCCCTAACTTAAGATTTTGACTTTTAAGAGGCAGTCGAGGAAATAATGTTATGAGGTTTGTTTATTTCTCTAGTGGTCAAAGACAGAGAAGTAAAAAGGCAAAGCTGGAGTCCGAATGTGTGGCTGCAGGTTCAAGATTCCAGGCCAAGTTCTTGGAACTCCAGCGCCTCTAGACTCACCAGCCCCACCAGCTTGTCCAGCCGCACCAGCCCCTCCAACCCCAGCAGGCCCACAAGCCCCACCAGCCCCTCCGGCCCCTCCAGCTCTGCCGCAGGAAATCCTGCCTCAGGGAATCATGATCCACCACCCAAAGAAGCATTTGCAGAAAAAAGAGATTCCACTGTTGCCTTCCATCAAGGGTGGTGTTGAGCCCATTAAGCTTTCCCCAGCAGTACACAGAGTAACCTTCAGGATTCTGGTGGAAAAATATCCCAAATTCTGCTTCCTGATGCTTCACCATATGGCCCTGGGGCACACACACTAATCGAGAACAGCCCGGGGCATCCTGTCACCCCCCACGGTGCACCTGCAAACTGGCTTTTACAGCAACCCTGTCTTCCAAATGGGTCCGTGTCTTTCTAGGCATCGTTTGTAATGCTAACCTGTTTGGTACTACCCAGAAATGCTAACATTTCTACCACTTTAATCTAAAGAGATTAAATCACACTCCATGATACTCCTGACAACAAACAGCATTTTAACCAGTAATTTACGATACAAAGATTTTCAATCAGGGGGCTAAGCCCTTCCCTGGTGGTTTTAAGAAACTGCCAGCCTCGATGGAGACTCCTCCATCAATTCCTCATCATTAGAAAAGAAACAACGGAGAAAAAAATCATCCAATTAAGTGACAATTCCAATGTGTAAATCTTATAATATTTTTGCATTTGTGATATGGGTTCTACACTAAAAACACAACTTGTCTAATCTGAACGAGATTTTTCAGGATGTTATCCTATTTTGTTTGTGCCTCTTGGTTTAGTAAATTCCCAACCACTTTTTCTTCCCTCAGCCCCAACTCCCCACACACAAAATGTTTCTCATTATGACCTGAGACATTCATTCTGACTGTAGAGGTTTTAGATCATTTCTTCTAGGTGTTAATCAGTTCTGGCCATATGGTGAGGGTGAGGTAATCATTATTACTTTACAATGAATGCCCTTAATTACATTTTCAGTAGTAATATTAGTCCTTCTGTTTATTTGAGTACCTAAGAGCTGCAGGCAACGTGATCTGAATTACATGGAGGACAAGCTCCAGCTGACTCTCCGTAAACTCGCATTAGGATTCTACTATGCGACGACAGGAGCAGGTGGGGATAATGAGCTGGCAGAAGGGGCTGCCTGTCACACTGCCCGGTGGTCCCTCTTTCACCCCCACTTTGCCTCAGGCATTTTCTACTTAGCTGTGACCTTACTTGTGGTGATACCAATCCAGTGGTCAGGAGAGAGGCACCCAGCCCATGTCTGAATCCTGCTACTGACCCTGGGGATCCATGCGACTTGATCTTAGATATTGGTGGTGAAGTGTCGCTCTCCTTGACAGCATCCAGGAAAAGGTAATTAATTACCTTTGCCAAAATGCAAGTGGAAGTTCAAAGCCTCAGCCTTGAAGAGGGTCCCTGGGGACTTCCAGGCCCCGAATGTGAATGTGAAGCCCTTCTGCCGAGTGGGGCAAGACGCCGGAGTGACCTTCGCCTGAGTGGGAGGGCAGTCACTGTTTGGGTCCACTTTAGGCGTGGTCCAGGTCAATTTAACTTGTCATATGCCACGGGAAGACATAAGGTAAGTTAATGATTCTAAGATGAATCAACTGCTCTTTTAGTCAGGGTCTCTTGAGAATTCATTCACTCAATCCACGAATGTATTTGACTCTCTAGTATGTGTTACGGAACCGGGCTTAAGGACATATAAGGAAAGAGAGAGACAGCGATTAATTCACTGCCCCAAAGGAGGCCTGGAATCTTCTTAGGGAAAAGAATCCGCACAAAACACTCCATTGAGTATTCTTGTGTTTAGCCTGAGTCATGTTGACTTGAAAAATTGCAACGTAAAAACTGTATATTTTCACACAGTGTGGTAGAAGGAATAGGCTTGTTCTCAGACTATGTCTTGCCCTGGAGATGGGTCCACAGGAAGCCTCTATCTTGGTCGCCCTTTGGCATAAGCTTTGCACCTGTTCCCTTCTCCTTGCCTAGATTCTTGCCTCTTCTCTCGCTTTAAAGACCAGGATTTGTTGTTGTTGTTGTTGTTGTTGTTGTTGTTTTAGAGATGGTATCTTGCTCTGTCCCCCAGGCTGGAGTGCAGTGTAATATCATAGCTTGCGGCAGCATAAACCTCCTGGCTTCGAGTGATCCTCCCAGAGCAGCCTCCTGAGTGGCTAGGACTACAGCCATGTGCCATCACGTTTGGCTAACTTTTTTTATTTTTTGTAGCAATGGGGTCTTGTCATGTTGCCCAGGCTGGTCTCGAACTCCTGTCCTCAAACGATCCTCCCACTTCAGCCTCCTGAAGTACCACCATGCCCAGCAAGACCTGGATCTTTAACGCTTTGCCTGTCTTTGATCTTTGACACCTCCTGACACCCAAGCCCCTGCCTCCCGCTAGGCAGGCATTTTTGGTTAAAGTATGAGCTCCCACTTTGTATTTATCTCCAGCTTTGGGTGTTCAGTTTGATGGGGACCAGCCACAGGTGTCCCCACCTAGTTCTCCAGCCCTAATTTGTTTTCTCCCATGTTGCAGTTCCTGGCTTCTTCCCATTTGCCCACACCCTCTTTGTGGTACAGTGCCCCAAACTGACACATGCCACAGGCTCAGAGTAGCTTCTGGCTGGTCACTCGAGGGCAGAGAGGATTTCGTGACCTTTCCCTGAGAACAGCTGCATGAACTGCAGGGTCGGCAGAGGGGTCATGTCTGCCTGCTGCTAAGGTCAGCTGCAGACAGCCCATGTCAGGGAAAGCCCATTTAGCATTAGAAGAGTAAAAAGAAGAAAATACCTCCTCAGCCAGGAGTACTTTGATGTGAACCAATACAATTAGTCTCTGAATGATGAATATAAATGATAATCAATGACGTATGTGTGCTTAAAAGAAGGTGAGGAAAGATTATCACTGCCTAAACGTTCCTTTTAAAGGACACCACAAGTGGATGAGTGGAGCATATAGGGTAGATAGGATTTTTTTTTTTTTTTTTTTTGAGATGGAGTCCAGCTCTGTTGCCCAGGCTGGAGTACAGTGGTGTGATCTTGGCTCACTGCAACCTCTGCCAACTGGGTTCAAGTGATTCTCCTGTCTCAGCCTCCCAAGTAGCTGGGATTACAGATGCACGCCACCATGCCAAGCTAATTTTTGTATTTTTAGTAGAGACAGAGTTTCACCATGTTGGCCAGGCTGGTCTCAAACTCCTGATCTCAGGTGACCTGCCCGCCTCAACCTCCCAAAGTGCTGGATTTCATGTGGGAGCCACTGTGCCCGGCCAGGTAGATATGATTTGAATCTTTTTTTTTTTTAATTATTTTTTTTTTTTGAGATGGAGTTTCACTCTTGTAACCCAGGCTGAAGTGCAATGGCATGATCTCAGCTCACTACAACCTCCACCTCCTGAGTTCTAATGATTCTTCTGCCTCACCCTCCCAGGCAGCTGGGATTACAGGCACCCACCACCATGCCCTGGTAATTTGTGTATTTTTAGTAGAGACAGGGTTTCATTATGTTTACCAGGCTGGTCTTAAACTCCTGACCTCAAGTGATCTGCCCACCTCACCTCCCAAAGTCCTGGGATTATAGGCATGAGCCAATATGCCTGACTGATATGATTTAAATCTAATCAGAACACTGGAAGATACAGCAAAGTCTCAAAGTGGTTGTCTATGGATGGCACTATGGGTTGCGTATTATTTTTCCAGAGCTTAGAACTTAGTTCTGAATTTCTTTATTTTTGTTATTTATTTATTTATTTTGAGATGGAATCTCATTCTTGTTACCCAGTCATCTTGGCTCACTGCAACCTCCGCCTCCCGGATTCAAGTGATTCTCCTGCCTTAACCTCCCAAGTAGCAGGAATTACAGGCGCCTGCCACGACTCCCGGCTAATTTTTTGTCTTTTTAATAGAGTCAGGGTTTCACCATGTTGGCCAGGCTGATCTCGAACTCCTGACCTCAAATGATCTGCTTGCCTTGGCCTCCCAAAGTGCTGGGATTACAGGCGTGAGCCACCACAACCGGCCTGAATTTCTTTAGAGAATCTATATTGCCTTCATAAAAACTTGCTTTAAAGTTAGTTTTTTATTTTAAATGTTAATTTGAAGTTAAAATGCTTTTCCTCTGACTAGGTGTTTAATGCATTTAGGAAAGGCTGAGCATGAAACAAGGGTTGGGGGAAAGAGCCTGTTTAGAGGGGACTGTAAAAATGGGGACTCCCAGCTGGGATTGACAGGAGAGGGTCAGAGCCCAGAGAGATGCCTGCTGGAAAAGAAGTGACAGGGTTGAATATTTGCCCTGCTCAGTGTCATGTTGGAATGTGATCCCCAGTGTTGGAGAGGGGGCCTGATGAGAGGTGATTGGATCATGGGGTGGACTGGTCGTGAATGGTTTAGCGCCATCCCCTTGGAGCTGTCCTTGCGATAGT